GTAGGTTGACCCCTCATCTATATGGTGTGTGAAAGCTTAGGTTACTTAAGCATGTGCTGATTTTAAACAAATATTTTTTTATGGAAAATTTGTGTGATTTAAGAACTTTGTTGAGGGTGAAGTATAAAATAAATAAATAAATTCATCACCTCTCTATTTACTTAAACTTTTGGACGAGTTGGTTCAGCATAATATCATAGTAGGCAAAGGTCTTGAATTCAAGTCCGTCCCTACTTCTATCAGTATGCACACGATGGAGAGTTTAGAAGATAACATATAATTCCGTCTACCATACTAAATTTTTTTATATAAAATGGTTTTAAAAAGGGATCAAAAACTGAAAGTATTCAATGACTACTATCCAGAATTAGTAGAAGAGAAAGAGGAATGGATGTATTTAATAATCAGTGGAAAGAGAGTGAATATTATGAAAATGAAATGCAGGACAGAGGACAGGTTTGAGTTAAGTACAGAGCTGTAGCCAACTGTCTTGATTATTAAAGACAGAAAATAATCATGGAATTAGGGTCCATTATAAGTGGATTATTTTGAGAAAGCAAAAGGTGAAAGGAGGATCTTTCTTACTTTGATTCAATTCAAATGTATGATGACATGAGAAAAGGATCAGTAAAAGAGAGAGAATATCTGCTGCAGGCCCATCAGAATTGGGAGGGATGACCCTTTCTATTTGTAAATTACAAGAAATTGTTCTCTTTGAACATAGTGTTAGAATTGGATTATGATCCTTAGGTCCTGTTTGGGAGGGATTAAATTTTTTTACAGTAAATCAATTCTCATTTTCAACCACACATTCTTCAATAAAATAATATTTTTCATCACATCAATAATTTTTTCTCCTTTTTCAACCACACATTTCTCATCATATCACTATTCAAAATCAATTCTTCCCCCACAAATCTCTCCCAAACAGGCTCATAGGAAAAAGTGTTTGGGATAAAAATGAGTGAAAAAACCGTGTTCAAAGCAAACTGGGAGTTGCTGGAATCGAACATTCGCACGAGCGCCAAGCGAGCGGCTATCGAGCATTGTCTAAGTAGTTGCCAGTATTTTTATCATAACTTTCTCTCTTGATATCCGATTAAGGTGATTTAAAATGCGTTTAAAATTTAACTCAAATGGCTAAAGTTCTTCTAGAAGTAGTCTTTTCCAAATTGGAAAGCTTTCTATGTAAAAAATGCATTTCAAGTTGCAACTGAAATTTTGGAGTGTAACTTGTGCGACTCTTGGAACACTCTTTAGACTTCTAATTGTATTCCAATGGTCATATATGATCTTCTTGGACATCTTTGAATCCTCCAAGGACTATATTACCATCCCCAAACTTTTTACTATAATTAGGATTCAATAATTCATGTTTTGACTTTGATTACAATTCGATAAATTTCTAATACAATTAAACTAAAACTTGATTTTGAATAAGAAAATTGTCATTTACAAATTAGACTTTACACACAGAATATTTATTTTTAGCTCTAAGAGTTTATGTAATAATAATGAATAATGTAACTTATATTGTAAAAAAAGAAGATACGAATGTTTTAAATATTTTTAAAGGAAAATTTACAAAATATATCATATTATACTTTTTACATATCTTTCTATATATAAAAAGTGCCTATTTAACGGAATTTGTTGGTTTAACGGAAAAACTAATGGAATTTGTTGTTTTAACGGATTATGTAACGGAATTTCTTGTTTTAAACAGGCAGTTTCACCTTCCTTCGACGTTTTTATCATAACTTTGTATTCCGATATTCGATTGAGGTGATTCAAAATGCGTTGGAAAGCTAACCCATCTGGCTACAACTTTGATTCAGACATTATTCTCCAATTCGATCACTTTTTATGCCAAAAATATGTCTCAATATAACGGACTATGTAACGGAATTTTTTGTTTTAAACAGGCAGCTGCACCTTCTTTCAGTGTTTTTATCACAACTTTGTATTTCGATAT